TACTGAACATGCTGGCTGTGTCTAGACTGCATCCCTTTTCTATAAAAGGGATGCAAATTAGACATATCGCAATTGCAAATGAAGCAGGGATTTAAATCTCCCCCGCTTCATTAGCATAAAAATGGCTGTCACTTTTTTCCGGCTTGTAGCTTTGCCGGAAAAGAGCGCCAGTCTAGACGCGGATCTTTCGAAAAATAAAGCCTTTTCCGAAAGATCCCTTATCCCTCATTTTAAAAGGGATAAGGGATCTTTCAGAAAAGGCTTTATTATCCGAAAGATCCGCGTCTAGACTGGCGCTCTTTTCCGGCAAAGTTCCGAGCCGGAAAAAAGCGGCAGCCATTTTTATGCTAATGAAGCGGGGGAGATTTAAATCCCCGCTTCATTTGCAATCGCGATATGTCTAATTTGCATTCCCTTTATGGAAAAGGGATGCAGTCTAGACACAGCCGCTGAATACAAGCCAAGCACCAAATGTGGGAGGGAACCCCATTTGGCCTCCCCCACATACACATCTCTATCCACGGGCTACTAAGGCACTGGAAAACTCTACTTTTTTTTTGGCAGACAATTTAGCAGGAGCACTGTATCTAATTCCTATCTAACAGAAAGAAAAATAAATATTAGACCCACTCAGTTCTAATACTAGCACATTCTGACATCTTGTGGCAAGTCATGTAAGGGACACTGGTTAGCATTATAATTTTAATGTACGTTCTTATTTTGTTACTGATTCTGTGGAGAGACAGACACGGTCAGGACTCCAGGGATCTGTCTCAGCTCAGGAAGGGGAGTGGGGTCTAGGGAGTTAGAGCAAGGGGGAGATATGTAGAGCTGAAATATATAAGAACATCAGCATGGCCACACTGAGTCAAACCAATAGTCCTTCTAGCCCCGTCTTGTCTTCCAACAGTGGTCAGGCCAGGTGCTTCAGAAAGCGTGAACAGAAGAGGCAATCCTCAAATGATCTGCTGTGCCTCCTTTGTTTGTTTGAAATCTGCTGCCTATAAATTTAGTTGGTCAGCCTCTTGTGTTATGTTAGTGAAGGAATGAATATTATTTCCTGAGTCTATTTTTCCATACCATTCATGATTTTCTAGATCTCTAACATATTCCCCCCATCCTTCAGTCATTTCTTTTTCAAGCAGAAAATTCCCAGTCTTGTTAATCTCTGCTCATACAGAAGCTGTTCCTTACCCCTAATCATTTCTGTTTCCTTTCTGTACCTTTTCCAAATCCCATTGGTTTTTTTTTACCAGATCTGCATACAGTATTTAAGATGTGGGCATACCATGACTTTACATAGAGGCGATCTGGTATTTTGTCTTATCTACTCCAGTGTTTCTCAGCCTTTTTTAATAAAGTACCACCCAGTACTTAAAGTTTTCAGACACACGGGGCCAGACGGAGGCATGGGTGAGCACAGCAGCTGCCCAGGGCACCAACCAACGAGGGGCGCCTGATGGCAGCTGTAAGGGGCGCGCGGCTCCTGCAGCGCTGGCCCGCCCGCATCCCCACGGTGGCTGCAGGGCCCTGCATGGCCCGGCGCGCGCGCCAGCAGCACTAACCAAGCCAGGCTGGGCAGCGCATGCACCGAGCG